AAAAATAGAAAAATTTCGTTCATTCAAAAGGGATTAGTGAGGTGTTTGTAACCTTCACTCCCGTTCTGGACAGATTTTCGTATCCCGAGAAAGCAAAAAGTAAAGACCCCTAGTTCAAACACGAGGGCAATTGCAGTTATTTAGACCTTCCCCTCTGCACGTCATAGGTATATTTCCTTCTCACCTCCCCGACGTGCGTTCACGACGGGAAGCAAAAAAGGGTTTAAGGATAATAAGGGTTCACGATAAAAGGACTTTCCATGGACACACTAAGTAAACGGCGTTTCTTCCCTCTTGTTCCCGATGATTGTTGTGAATTCCAAAGAGAAAAAAATTGGGAACCTTCGTTCAATCAAAAGAGATTAGAGAGGTATTTGTAACCTTCACTCGCGTTCTGAACACATTTTCGTATCCCGAGAAAGCAGAAAGTCAAGACTCCTAGTTCAAACACGAGAGCAATTGCAGTTATTTAGACCTTACACCGAATACGCAGATTTCCTTCGCACCCTCTCCATGCGCGTTGGCGCCGGGAAGGATGAAGCAGCCGAGCGCCTGCCCCTTCCACCGCGCCGGCGACGTTCGCCGAGGGGAGATGTGGGTCAGGCGGAAGAAAGTGTGCCGGCGGCTGAGCGTCGGCGACGGCGGCGGCGGCGGCGGAACCGGCAGGGGTGGGGGGAGGGCCGGCGAGGCGACGCGAACGGCATCCGACGCTCCCAGCCTTCATTCGTTCCCGGGTGGCTGCAGGCGCGCGACCCAAGCAGCCGGTGCAGCGACAGCGACATCTGCACGAACCGACGCGCGACGAGAGGGAGCTCGCGAGCACCGGAGATTCGGTGAGCACTGCCTGACCTCCACTTGCGCGCGCGCTGGGCTGTCGAGTGTTTTAGCGCCCTTTTGGTACTCCCTCTTTCGGGGGCGGTTCCAGAGACGAACTTTGGGAGGGAACCATTCTTTATTCGAAACGTTTTGGTCGAATATGACATATATTACAGAATATGTAGAATGAAGCTTACTAAACGTAGCTCATATTGCAATACAATTTTATTCGTTGTAATATTTATTTGGTAATGTTGAGACGAAAATATTTTTGCTTGAAAGGTTTGTGACAAGTTAAAGTTAGTAGTAACTGAAAAATTTTGGGATGGGAAATTTTCCTCATTTCCCTCCCCGTGGATCCGCGCCTGGCTTTTTTAACGTTAAAGCTATTTATATTTTGGATAAAATAATTGTTGTACGAAATTTGAAACCGATGCAAATATTGTATACGTAAAAGTAATTGATCATACGTATACATATAAATAATTTCTACTGCGATAATAATTTAATAAATATGCGATGATTTTAAATCCATTTTATCTGAATATATCACATGATTAAATAACACATTCTTCTGTTACAAAAATGGAAAGAAATATTTCTATGAAAAAGATTGAAAACTTCGCCTTATAAAATTCCGCATCTGTTGAAATTCGTCCGCCCCTAAAAATTGCGCGCCGCAGACTCCTGCCTACTGAGCCTGTTCGGTAATCTGGCACTGACGGCGAGTCCCAGGAACTGCACACCGCGTGCCGAGCAGGGCGTGGCAGAGCAAGTGCCTGACTTTGGCTTACGTGCGCTCTAGACTGTCAAATGTTTTAGGGCCCTTTTCTTAACTTGCCTTTTTTAACGTAAAAACTATTTATAGTATTTTGAATAAAAAAATTTCAACAATACTTGTAACCGATACAAATATTGTATACGTCATATTTACGAAATATATTATTCATTATATATTTGCATATTTTTATAAAATCAAATATTTTTGGTCAATGAATTAAAAATATAAGGAAATTATGAGAGAAATTTTTCAGAATAAATATTTGAACTAATTTCTCGCGACGATATTTATTTAAGAAATACATGATATTTTGTATTCATTTTACGTGTATATATCTATAAAAATATTCAGATGTTTTCCTTATGAAATTTTGCACCCTCTGAAATCTGTCCGCCCTTAAAAACTGCTCCCCCCAGGCTGGAGTCTACGTAGCCTGTTCGGTAATCTGGCACTGGGCGGAGCTTCTTCTTCTTCTTCTTCTTCTTCTTCTTCTTCTTCTTCTTCTTCTTCTTCTTCTTTCCCTTCGTGCCTTTAAATTACGCCGGGATCCGGAATAGTCATATTTCATATTCCTCTTATCTTGTGCCTTGCGTTTTATGTCTCTTGTTGTTAGTCCATTCTTATGACATACATCTGCTATTTACCCTTCCGAGGTTCTCCTGTTTTTTTTAGGAATTTTTTCCCCGTTTGGCTTCGCCTTCAACATCTGCTTCGATTTCCTGTCCTCTTTTATTCTATTCACATGTCCGAACCATGTTAGTTCATTATTTTCAGTAGCTTTCAATAGTGGTGTAATTTTGAGTTCGTTCCTGTGGTGGGACGCATAGAGTGTTGGTGTGCACGTGCAACTCGCCAAGTTAAAAACTCCTGTTATGGCATGTATTGTTTTATAATTAAATTTTATGAAAAGTGAGAAAGACTGTCCACAAAATAGAGTATGGCATTAGAGCTAAAAATGATTTTATTTTCCTCGTAGGCATGCACCATTCGACCAATGAGCCTCATGTCACAACCTTTTCTAAGAAAAAATAAAGTGACACTTTAACCACTAGTATCATACGTTACTGTTTTGAAATATTTATTTTTTAGGTTGCTAGTATTTGAGATTGAAATATTTTCAAGTGCGAAATTTGTCTAGTTCGTAGTCATCAAATCCCGAGCTAGTCTGCAATGCAATTTGCAATAACAAACACACAATAATATAATTGATGTTTGTTTAGAGGATTGTCTGTCCCTGTAGGGAATAGAACGTAGAATTGTCACAGAAGGAGGCAATAATTGTTATTGGTAATATTAATAATGACGATAGAGATAGTAGTATTGTTTGAATTGTGTCGAGTTCGCACGACAGCTCTTTCCACAACCATATTTTATCACAGTCACGGTATGACACGTACGTCGAGATAAGATGATGCTTCATCAGATGTCGTGCTCAGCAGGTGGGTAATGAGGATAGAGACGTAGGAAGTAATTAATAGGGTGGGAGTCAGAGGGAGAACCTCGTGGAAACAAACGCAAGAGAACGCGTTTTGTCTACCACAATGGAGGGAGGTGGGGATCAGCGTACGCTAGCCCTGGTTTCCGTTCCAACACCCAAGACGGTCCAATGTCACAGACTGGCTGAGTTTTGCTCAAGGGTTTGCTCAAGGGTTTGCTCAGGGGTTTGCTCAGGGTTTTGCTCAGGGTTTTGCTCAGGGTTTTGCTCAGGGTTTTGCTCAGGGTTTTGCTCAGAGATATTCAGAAGCCTCTTAGTGACCCTGACGGAGAGGTCTTATGGTTATAATTCCGACACAAGCTACATAGATAGCTAGGTCGAATTTAGTCGTAGTCGGGCGGACCATTTTAGCAGCCGGCTGCTCTGATCGGTAGTTTTTTGTGGCTTCTCCGATCAACGCCAGGATGATGCTGCAGCAGTGACCTAGCCAATGGGTTTCGGCGCGATCTTTCTTTCCTCTTCCTTTTTCTATCTTCACACCTTATACACACCTATACTGACAGGCACTACATGACCACGCAAGCCGGGATTCCTGTCTGGAGCACAGAGCTTGTTCCGGTTGGGGCGGTGCCCTGTTGGAGGGGAGGTTTCTAAAGTCGGAAATCCGCGCAAATCGACAACTAACTCGACGCCGGATCAAACCTTCCAACGGTGGTGAACATCAGCATCCTCCTCCCCCCACAGATGAAACGTTCACCACATTTTTGGGACTAATGACCTTAGCACTTGACGCGAAAACAAGCAATGGCTCGGTTTAGTGCCCAGGACATACGGTTGGGTTATTACTGGTTAAATGTATAAGAAATACAGCGCATTTTGTTAATTTTTAAGTAGATAATTTGAATTTCAGAAAAAAACTCAAGGAATTTTTTAGCCTTGTGGCTAAAATTTCGTGCTTTGAATGATCTACTGGAAACAAAAATCCTATTTAATTTTCTCGAATAATCGAACGTCAATTGTTTTAAATACTATAAAATGTAGTTTATTTGTGTTCGAAAAAAAAAAACAATGAAATATTTCATAAATCAAAAAAACATTATCCTTCAACTCTACCATTTTATACACTTTTTAATGTTTTATATAAATTAATCAAGTGGTTCCTTCAAAAGTTCGAAGTAACCCTAATTTTTTTGACATTGGTTTAAAGAACATTTTAATGAGCAACAGATTTATCTGGGGCTTCTTTCTACACCCGCTTTTGCATTCATATTGTGGGATATGTTCTTACGTTTCTTTTGCATCTATTTTTTTTCATTAATCACCGCATCCATGAACAATGTTTTTCAGAAAACTCAGACGAGTGAATACAAGTAGGGCACAGAGTGTTAAGTTAAAAGTGAGCGCAAGATATTAGGAAGGATGACCTTGACTTTCTCTTCCTGTAAAAATAAGAAATTAAGCAATGTGTACAAACTTGCGCTGCATACGAGATGCGAGTAAGAAGATTGCGTCCTACTTTACCCGTCTTTTGCTAAAAGGTGTATTGTCTAGTAGTCATTGTAAGGCGACATAAGCGAAATGATAGTTTAGACAATCTGAATTGTCTTGCCGAAAGTGAAATCACAGAATTAGTCAAGGAATTACTGTCGCTATAAGTGATATTGAATCATGATGGACTATCAATCTGAAAGAGATCTTTTTTTGGGAAAAGGAATTTTGAAATGTATACTGATGCCGCTAATTGTTTTTTTTTAAATATGAGTATATAATTAAGTTGTTGGATATGTCAAGTTGCTAGTTGCTAATTATCCCCAACGTATAATTAACATTACCTAAACATGTACAAAGATAATTATATTAAGTGAGTACATTGCTTTGCAAATAACGGAAGATAGCATTTCGTTCTGAGAGAAAATTACACCATTTCTGCATGGTTATGTCTAAGCCAGTCATTTCAAATAATGATATATTTCATATATCTTATGTATTTCTCCAACTATGGTAGTCAATCTTTTGGACATCACTGAACACATATTTCAAGATTTTGTATATCTCTTTGTACGTTGATATTCATTTTTTAAAAGATAAATCATTTCATTTATAATGGCGAAATTCCAATTCATTAACATGAAATTTATACCATTTAGTATAAAAAATCATATCTGCATCTTTGTTTATCTACATCTGTCTTGGAAAGAGACTGCAACGTGTAGCTTTACTTTGTAAGTCGATTTCTGTCGTTTCTTGTTCAAAGCATACTGCTTTTCTATTAAATGATTTTATTTAACTTGCACTGGTTATAGTTATCTTGGGGCGGCACAATTTCATATTTCTAACTCGTGTGGTCTGATAAAACTTTGAGGATGTAATTAAATTTGTTCAAAGAATTGGTTGCCCCAACATGCCCCGTCAGTAACATGGTCACAATTTGGATTTCTTTGCGACTACGGAGTACATTCTCCGAGCGTAATTGCGTCCGACAAGATGGCGTGAATGGTAATATATATATATATATATGATGTATATATTACGAAGTCAATTGATTACTCTTACGACTTTTTATTCAAAATTATGACACTTTTCAGTTCTATCCATGACACTTGATAGTTTTATGTTGTAGTATATTTTATTCCTAATACCATCATGGGCGCATCAATAACTGATGTGCAATTCTTGGAGGAGATTTTACATTTTCCAATAGCGCTCTAATTCAGTCGTTGTGTGGAGGAGAATTCTAGCGGCCGGCTGCTCTGATCGGTAGTTTTCCGTGGTATCTTCGATCAACACCAGGGGAATGCAAGAGCAGTATGAAAAGAAACGGGCCACGTACCGCACACGATCTTTCCTTCCTCTTTGTTGTCCTAACCTCACCCCTGACACATACGTGCATTACACTACCACACATGCCGCCGAAAACCTGCTCGTTTGAAGTAACGCAAGCAGGTAGCTGAAGCCATTTATGATTGGATGACTGTGTGTCAGTTCTTAAGCAGAGAGAAAGTTGAAGAGAAAATGAAAGAACTTTCATACCTCGTGGTCGTTCATTTTGTATACGGCATCACCCAAGGTCCTGAGTTCGAGACTAGGGGGAATCTAGACTTGAAGGTCATAATAGTCACATTCTCTCGTGTGAGGAATTTGAAGTCTTTGTAATGGCAATCTAATTTCCAAGTTTGTAGTTATATTAATATGTGTATTTAAAATATAACTTAATGTAAAAATATTGAAATAATCAATAATGGCAGACATTAATATCTCAGTTAATCATAATATATCATATGATATGAAAGTTTTAACCAACTTAATAATCGTAAAACTAGGAGACGGAAATTACGAATTTGATTACGTGTTGCGATAAAAAGGATATATTCTGCTACTATATTAATAATGATCTGTGATCATTTAAGTATTATATGTGGCCATAACAATCATAATATTAAAATAATTGACTACTATTTGAGGAAACTCTGAAGTTTCATGGAGTGAACGTTTCAATGTGACAATAATTATCGACGAAATATTTTACTAAGCTCAAGGTTTTGAACATTTAAATGGTCTTATCTCGGTTTTCTACATAACTTGACATTCGCATAACTTATCTTAATCACGTAATAAGTGAATATTCTTTAAAACGTGATTATTTTTATTTATGAGTCTTACATTGGTGGGAAACAATTGTGCGTCAAACAATGGCTAATTTCCTTAATCCTACACGTAATCACGGTTGTCATCAGGTCATCTCGAAATACCAACAGCGTTAAAGTACCACGAATACTCACTGTCAGATGATGCCGCAAGTAACAAGCGCAACTGGCACCAGGTTCTCTTGGAGTTCCCGAGCCCCGACAGTGACGGACTCTAGTTATGTAGTAGATACGTTGAATGCAGTCGCTGTCTGGAAGAGAATTCTAGCGACCGGCTGCTCTGATCGGACGATTTGGTTTCTCGGCTGATCGGACGATCGGACGATTTGGTTTCTCCGATCCACATCAGGCGAAGGCCGGAGGTGAACCTTAACAAAGAGGCCACGAATTCGCGGCCGCATCTTTCTTCCGCTGCCTTGTTTCTATTTTTAACCATTCGTAAACACACGACACACACACACCACACACACACACACTAACGTGCACTACACTTCGGACTCGGGAGATCAGTCGAGTACTCAGAGTGTGTTGTCAGGGCTGGGTCACAGCGGTGCCCTCCGCTGGCCCATGGGAATATTTGTAGAGGGGCGATTCCCGCGTACAGCCGGCCTGTTAAGTTGGCGACGCGGAATCTCACCAATCCAATCGCGGAAGTACTATCGCCCCTACCGCGGACGTTAACATTCACTACACTAACGGGACTAACTTCGCTAGCAATTGACGTTTTGTGAATCAATCAAGCAATTAATGTTGCCGAAGATGGAGTAGGTGGTGGAATAAAGATTAAGCGGAAACGGGAGAAAGCTGAGTGAAATTAACGCAAACCCGCTTTATTGACTTCGCATTCTATAAGAAACAACCTAATTGGAACCACAGCACTTGTTGGTCGTAAACTATCACTTTGAGTGCACCGTTAAGTACGAGTACCCTATTGCAAAGGATAACTGAAGAACGAAGGGAGAAATTAAAGAATCATTCATCTGAAAAAAATGTCACAAAATTGATTTATTTCGAAAATTTGTGTTAGAATTCCAATTTATTCCACGTACCCTCATTTTCAAAATTACTGAGAAACAATAGTTTCTATGAAGATTTACTCTAAAAATTATTTTAGGGCCAGATGTTTCACAGACGATTAATTTTCAAAAAGAGAGATCGGTAATTCAAAAAGCATATTTTGGTGCACTTCCTCCTCGTTTCTTTTGTAGATTGACACAGATGCAGTGCAGTGTCCCAGCGGCTCCGAAGCTGGCAGGTCTTTGAACCGGTCCGCGTGAGTCCGAATCTCGTTCCACATAAACAGGCCGAACGTGCTATGTGCCGACTCAGCAACCGTCAGGTTTCTTCCTTTGACTAGATCTCTTCAGCTGTTAGGAAATCGCGTTTATCGATTATACAGTCGATCCTTAATTACATCGCCCAAAAGCCTGTAGACGCTTTGCGTTATTTGAGGAAGTTGGCGTAATCGACAATTTTAATTGATAACGTATTTCTTTGATGCTTCCGGGCGTACAATTTCTATACTATAGTTGCAGAGATCGATTGATAGCTTGACTTCGTGTTTCAGCGTGGGTCAACTGCTGTGAGCATTAGTCCCACAAATTACTGTCTGTTTTTGTCAGTGTTCTCCCTCCGCTTAATGTGAGATCCGACGACGACCTACATATCGGTATGAGAGGTTTTCTCCATTTCCCATCCATTCCCATCAGCGTGTAACCACCCCTGATAGGACAAGTCCTAAGCTCTCGAATGGACTCCAACATGAGTGGTAATGAAGTGAAAGAAAGGGGGAAAAGAGAACAAGGCAAAATGAAGGAAAGATCGCGCGCTGTCCGTGGCCTGTTGTTAAAATACTTCTCCAGCATGCGCCCGATGTTGATCGGAGGCACCACCGAAACCTACCAATCAGAGCAGCCGGTCGCTGGAATTGTCCTCCAGACAATAGGCGACGTAGGCTGTTTCTATTGTCCTCCAGACAATAAGGCGACCTAGCTATATCCATCTACTGGACGGATAAAAAGAAGTAAGCTTTCAAATAAGAATGTTTTCATGCGATTTTTGGGCTTGATATTTTTATTGTCGAGATTACATCTTTTTACCTAGCCATAATCTCATGAATTCCCTCGAAATTTTCGTGTATTAAACCTCAGAGTTTTAATCTCTTTGTCAGGGTTTTAAAAATCCGCCTCCCCGGGATTTCGAAACCTGTTAGGACCTTCCCGAGTAGAAGTCGTTGCCAGAGAAACCGCGGCAATGCTGTCTCTGAGCTAAGTCATGCGCTTGCGTAGTGCTTCGCTACTTTGGTGTCCCGGAATTAACGCCGCGTCCCTCCGGCAGCAGAGTGCAAACGTTTCGACGACACCTATTTTGCCCTGGAGGAAATGTGTCAAAGTACCCGGCCGAAACCGGTTGGGCCCCTGTGCCTAGGTCAACGGGTCGCGTCGCGCACAACGTGACAACGTTTCGACAACCTCTATTTTGCCGCTGAGGCAATGGATCAAAGTACCCGGCCGAAACGTTGGCCCCTGCTGCCCTAGGTCACGGCGATCTCTGCGGCACAAAGTGCCAAATCGTTTCGCACCTATTTTGCCCTGAGGAAGCGTCAAAGTATCCCCGCGACCGCAAAAACAGTTGCGCCTGTGCCTAGGTCAGGCGTTCTCGCCGCACAGTAATGCCTCATTCCACAATAGCAAACTTAAAACGTAAACATAACGTAGCCGCAAAACTTAAGAAATGAGTTATTAAGGAGACCTGTTCACCCATGCCATGAACGTAAACGTAGACGCAAACTTAAGAGTTCCCAGTACATTAGTACACAGCGTTGTTACTTTAAGTTTTTGACGTCGGAATTCTACACCGCAAGATCAATTTTCAAATAGCAGCATGAAATAAACAACATGGGTGGATTTAAGATTGTGTTTAGGTACGTTTGTAAGTCATCTCGTTATTTTCATTTACTAATATGTATTGAACTATCCTTTGGTTTGCGGACCAATTTCAATGCGCGAGTAAGAATTTCAATCTAGTTAAACGATTTTTTTGCATCACTTATTCTAAGTGATTTTTACTTCACGTGACGGAAAAAAAAAAAAATATAAAAAAAATAAACGAAATTCCCTTGAAACATTGTGGATAAGATAATCCTCGTTTATTAAAATTGAAGGGGATTGCGAGCCACTAATACAATTTGAAGCTACTCGCATTTAATATTATTAAAGACAAATCGATAGTAAAAATCCCAAGAAAAAAAAGCCTATTCAGAAACCCATGTGTGGAAAATGTACTCTTTCATCATCAGCTAGACGCAAGCTCGACAATCGATGAAGCATTCAGTACGGTTTGAAAAAATTGATTGGCCCCAGGCGAAACTAAAAAAAATATAAAAAAAACAAAAAAAAAAGAAAATTAAAAACCTTACGTTCCGTCATGTTAGTTGAATGCTTGTTTTTCCGGTCAAAATTTTTTTCTGGCATAAGTTTTCGGCATTGCGGTTACGTCTACGTTTCGGCGTTGTGACAATTGAGACATGTTAAAGGCAGCCACTTGACTCCGGAGGCCTACCGCCAGCCATAGCGAGAATGGCAAATAACGAATTTTCTCTTGGAAATGGTATAAACGAATAATCCCTTTGTTTTATTAAAATTAAAGGGTATCTAAGGATCACTCAATACTCACATGTTATCATGCATTTATGTTTTCCAGATCTTGCTAGCCGGCAACTCCGACAACTCATCAAGCCTTCAAGTTAGTGACTTTGGGAAATCCGATTTACCCAGGCGAATACGTTTACGTTTCGGTTCATTGTGATTGCTGTTTTTCCGGGGTAATTTTTACTGCAAAGTTTTCGGCATTGCGTTACGTCTACGTTCGCGTTGTGAATGAGGCGTAAAGCAGCCACTGGCTCAGGCTCGCGAGATGCAGCTACTCCGCAGAGAGGCGCTCGAGGTCTCGTTTCTGCGCTTCCGCGAAGCTCCTCGCGAACCCGCGACCGGCATCGCTGCAATTGCGCGGGGCCGGCCCCCGGGCAGCCTCCTGCCCCGTTGCGCCACTTCGCAACCGCCTCGCAACCGCGCTGCCTGGAAGCGCAGGCGAGGAGGGGGCTGAAATAAAACGCTTCTGGGAACCCTTTGCAGATGAACTTTTATTATGTTTTCCCATTACACTACACATTACGTTACACACTACATTACATTTCATTATATTACACACTACGTTACATATTACGTTACATATTACGTTACATATTACGTTACATATTACGTTAAACATTACGTTAAACATTACGTTAAACATTACGTTACACTTACATTACAATTTACATTGCACATTGACATTTTTTTACATTTTTAAGTTTAAAATTGTGCTCTGTAACTCATTGCCCAATGATATGAAAATATTACTTGTTTCAGTTGCACAATAATATCCAAATTTAGTATGCGACCGTCTTGCTGACGTTTAGCCATCTTGTTCCACTGCTAATGTTAAAATTATGTTAATTGACCATATATTTATATAATCTAAATATTTCGATAATACTTTTTCAATACTTTAATATTTTCATTAATGATTAGTCAACATTTTAGTACATGTTTTCATTTTTTTAATGTCTTTCCCATTTGTGCCGCTTCACAAACACTTCGCAAATACGTTGTCAGGGAGCGCATGCGAGCGTCCACTAAAACAAAAGATGAACATTTTTGAGTTTAGTTTTCACATTATAAAATTTCACAATCTTACATTTAAAACGCTGATTCGTAAAAACACTGCTTAGTAAATGGCGAAATATCGGAAATGGATTAAGAAACGTTATTCTACTACACAATAATGATCAATTGTAGTACAGAATTAAATCTTGCTCTACAACTAATACATAAAATAAGTCTTTTATGATTTTTCAATATTATACCGCACGTTATGTATTATATACAATACGCTAAGACACGACTTGTATATGACAGATATGATATTCTTGTAAATAACGTGTATAAATAAAAAAAAAGTGGAGTGTCCGATTGTGATTTCAAAACAACTATCATTTCGTTCTCGAATGTTGTTAGATGTCATAAAATCCATATGAATTGTTACGACTACTTTTGTCTATCTGCCCAGGCTGGAAAGATGTCGATGAAAAGAGTGTTTTGTTGGTCATAACTTAGTCACCAAGTTTTTTAAAATGATTTTTTTCTCTTAGGTCAAAAAAGATTGTTTTTCATACACATCTAGAGTTTTATTCCAAACTTAATGAAATATTTTACACCTGATATACACAACAAACTTGTTTGTCTACACGAAATATAATATCTTATTTCCTAAACCCCTCAAACGCCAAATTTCTCATTTCGAGAAACCTGAAAAAAAGCTCCCAATTTCTAAGATTTTAAAATATTTTTATTTATTAAAGCCGTTGATAAATTAATATTCTTCATATAAATACAAATTGAACGATGTGTCTATTCTCTTGGAGCAATAATCGACAGCTAATGCGTGTTTTAGATTTCAGCGTTTGACGGATTTCTGAAATAAACGATTTAATTTCAAAATCATATACAAAAAGTTTGTCTACATGACATGGATGAAAGGGCGTTGAAGCTGGCCCCTGACGGGCGTGGAGAGGAGTTTAGTTTCACAACAAGGGGAATGAAATTGATGACGAATGGTGATTCCTCTTTGCATCTAGAACAGCACAAACACGAGCCAAATTCGTAAAAAAGGAGGCTTTTTTTAAGAAGGGAGAACCATTAGTCGGGCCCCGTCTCACGTCACCATCACTGCGCGCTTCCAAACGCCGCGACTCGTAGCAGAGCATTGGTTTAAATGGAGATCTTCCTAGGT